CAGCACCCATGGGTGCAGGATAGAGGCACCCCAGCACCTACAGGCACAGGATACAGGGACCGCAGCCCCTGTGGGCGCAGCCCTTCCGGTGCCACAGCACCCATGGGTGCCTTACCTCAGCTTTGAGCTCGTCGATGTGGTCCTTGAGCTGGCGGATGTACTGAGCGGCGTCCGAGTGGTTGAGCTGCCCCTGGATCATGCCCTCCTCCCTCTGCGGGCGCAGAGGTCATCCTGTCACCCCGTCCCCTCGTCCCCCATGTCCCCATGTCCCCATGTCCCCATGTCCCCATGTCCCTCTGTCCCCCTGTCCCCCCCCCCCTCACCTGGATCTCCAGCTCAGCCACGCGCTGTCGCATCTCAGCCAGGGCTGCCATGCTGTCGGCCTCCCGCAGCCGCACCGCCATCACCTCCTCCTTGCTCTGGGGACATTCGTGTCACCACCAAGGTGGGGGACACCGCTGTCACCCCCCCCCCCCCCCCCCCCCCCCCCCCCCCCACCACCCCCGGGGTGTGGGGGATGAGGGGAGGGTGGGGGTGTGAAGGGGGCTTAAGGGCAGCAGTGAGGGGACGCGATAGATGGGGTGTAGGGACAGCAGGGACCCCATGGGAGGGGACAGTTGGGATCCTAAGGAAGGGGACATGGGGACCCGGGGACCCCATGGGAGGGGACAATTGGGACACCAAGGGAGGGGACATGGGGACCCGGGGACCCCATGGGAGGGGACAATTGGGACACCAAGGGAGGGGACATGGGGACCCCGGGACCCTGTGGGAGGGGACACTGAGCTCCTATGGCTGAGGATGATGGGATCCCATGGGAGGTGACAGGTGGGACCCCATGGGAGGGGACATGGGGACCCCAGGGACCCCATGGGAGGGGACACTGAGCTCCTATGGGTGAGGATGATGGGATCCCATGGGAGGTGACAAGTGGGACACCATGGGAGGGGACAACTGGGACACCAAGGGAGGGGACATGGGGACCCTGAGGACCCCATGGGAGGGGACAATTGGGACACCAAGGGAGGGGACATGGGGACGCCAGGGACCCCATGGGAGGGGACAACTGGGATCCTAAGGAAGGGGACATGGGGACCCGGGGACCCGGGGACCCCATGGGAGGGGACACTGAGCTCCTGTGGGATCCCATCAGAGGTGACAAGTGGGACACCATGGGAGGGGACAATTGGGACACCAAGGGAGGGGACACTGAGCTCCTATGGCTGAGGATGATGGGATCCCATTGGAGGTGACAGGTGGGACACCAAGGGAGGGGACATGGGGACCCCGGGGACCCTGTGGGAGGGGACAATTGGGACACCAAGGGAGGGCCTGTGGGTGTCCATATGGAGGGGACAGGGGTGTCCCTATGAAGGGCCTGTGGGTCTGTGGGGAGGGGACAGGAGTGTCACTATAGAGGGGACAGGAGTATTCCTAAGGAGGGCCTGTGGAGAGGACAGGGCTGTCCCTATGGAGGGGACAGGGGTGTCACTTTGGAGGGCCTTTGGGTGTCTGTGGGGAGGGGACAGGGGTCTCCCTATAGGGGGGACAGGGCTGTCCCTATGGAGGGGGCATGGGTTCTCCCTATAGGGGGGACAGGGCTGTCCCTATGGAGAGGACAGGGGTGTCACTATAGAGGGGACAGGGGTGTCACTTCGGAGGGCCTTTGGGTGTCTGTGAGGAGGGGACAGGGGTCTCCCTATGGAGGGGACAGT